CGGTGGTGGTTTTATATGGTATCTCATAGTGACACCAACAACTAAAACTGATAAAAATCGATTTAACCCACCAACCCAACCCAAAATTAACGGGTTGGGTTGAGATTTTCAACTCATTTAAGTTAAATTGGTCAACTCATCTAACACATTTAGTTAAATAGGTTGGGTTGGATAAATATTATTAACATATTTTCAACCCGCCGACATATTTAACTTTATTATATATTTAATATAATAATTATTTAAATATTATCATATATTAATCTAAGTATTGATTTATAAATTATAATGTTGTATCATTATTTATGTTTTTAAAAAGTGCAACAAATTTTGAATTTTTTTTTTTCTACTATCGTGTCACTACTTAAATTTCTTGTATCATCCTTACTATGAAATCATGGGTCCGTTCCTACCCACCTGTATATGAAAACTTACTATTTCATTGTCTCCCTCCCACCCCTCTCTTTATGGTCTCTCAATGCTCTCCAATGACACATCTCATTAAACTCACCAATTAAAGTCTCTCAATGCTAACAACCCTCTCGGCATTCCATCAGATATTAGGTCCCCTACATCTAATCCAACACTTGATATTATGATTCCTTTTACAATAAACATGAGTTTCTGTTGATTTTTTAACTCTACACCTTATAACATGTAAGTTTATTATAATCTCATTTATAACAAAAGCAAAAGTAATACACTTAGCACATTATTTAACAACAACAAGACACAACAATCCAAATGCACATATCATCAATCAAAATAATCCGGATCCTTGGGCTTGGGTACCGGGGTCCGAATACAATCATGAGCTTCAGATCCCATTCTTTTATTCCTCCTTTGTTCACTACCAACACCATTCTCATAATTATAATTCTGTTTCACCTTCAACATACCAACCAACTTTCTCCTTCTATACCGTTTCCAAGCCGACTGTATAAAACAAGCCGCCCACGTCCTCCACTGATGCGAATGAACTCTAAACGTATGCCTCAGCTTCTTATTATGCATCTTCCGGAACCACTTCGCGACAAATTTCAAATCCTTAGAGGAAAGCGCGTACGCTTCAACCTCAGCAACTGACGTGACTGTACGCGTGGACAACGGAAGCGTGTCCGTTGTCCGCGGGTCCAACGCCCACGTCAGCAACTCCTCACCACAAAAATCCCCAGGCCCAATCCGACACTCATTCCAAAAACCCGCCCGCCCGCCATCCGTAGTATAGGAATCTAGATTCCCATGCATGATGAATAGCATTTCGTTTGTGGGGTCGCCTTCGCGTAACAAACAAGTGCCAGGTGTGCATGTGACAGGTGTCAACCGTTCGCAGATTGCATCCACTGTGCGCTCGTCCATTTGGTCAAAGAGTGGAACGCGTCTGACTAATTCGATACAGATGTGTTGTTTGATGTCTCGTTTGATGTCTAATGGAAGTTCGTCTAGAATCGCTTCTTCATCGACTTTCTGGTGTTTGATCCATTTGTGAAGATCGTGTTTTCGGATACGCTCACGCATTGCGTGTGGTAATTGTCTGTGGTTCATCCATAACTCTGTGTCCATTTGTTGGATTCTGTATTCTTCTAATCTTTCGGTTCTTGATTCAAGATATGTCTCCATGGTGCCGATAACCATGGCGAGAAGTAGTAATCCTGTGAGGGATATGAGTATGCAAAAGTGTGTTTCTGCGAGAAATGTACTTGCCTGAACTTCTTCAGCTCTAGAACTGAAGAACAAACATGAGAGAGAGAGTTTAAGTTTTTAGATATGTTAATTGAGAAAACTAGGGTTTGTATTTTGTAAGTTGTAATTAATAATAAATTACCTTAGTGCTCGGAGGCCCCACCAGAGACAATAAGAGTATTTTGTGAAGAAATCTAGGGATGCAACTCCGTAATTTACAGCATCAAAGATCATTCCGTATTCGTAGGACTCTGTGTCGCGTCCACATATATTTGAGATGTTGCTTGATTGATACCATGATGCTCGACCTGGATCATCAAGGTAACGACAGTTGAAAAACTTCTCCCCGCATCCTGGTTCTTCAAGATCACACACTTCTTTCCAGCATATTCCTTGTCTTTCGATTGATAGAAGGTAATAACAGGCTCCGAACACCTTCAAAATGTTACAAGATTTTCATCAAACAGTTGGTGTGCATGGTGTTGTTATTCAGTTCGGGTTAAATTCGATGTTAAGAGATTGGAAGGAAAGGAGAAGGGCATACATGAGCTGCCAACATGAAGAGGATGATATTGTAAACAGCCCCAGCGACTGTCGATTCAGCAACAACGCCGGTTACTTGTTGTATATGAGATGAAAGTTTGAATACAAGATAGAGTCTGATAAAGAATTGGAACATAATGAAGTATAATACGCTCGTCTTCGTGCTCAGCATTTCAGAATTATCAAAAATCGGGAGCCATGTCAATACCTGAAACCATTTTTAATTAATTTCGATAAACGTGAAGTGAAAAAGTAATGTCATGATGGAAGAACGACAAGTGTCACCTGTGGAATAGGAAGAGATGCCAGGAAATCAAGAGTGAAATCTCTCTTGAGATACCTCTGAGAGATTTTGAAAGGGTCGAGAACAAGCTCTCCTCTTCCAAGTAAACGAGTTGAAGGTGCATCGTAAGCTGTTCTGAATCGAACGTAAATCTGAATCAAGTAGAAAACGTCGACAATCGATCGAATGATTGTGAGAGTCATTTTCAGAGAAGTATCTTCGCCCATGCACATCTCGTCGTCGTTCACTTCAGGCAAGTAGAAGAACAGAGGATCAATTGCGATCGAAATTAGGGCTGCAACTAAGAAATACTTGTTCCATTGCTTCACATGGTCTCCTCGAGGATCAAATATACGTCCTTCGATTTTTTTGTAGTCCTCTGAGAACACTCTGGTAAGTCTTCCACTTATAACACGCCGTCTTCCACTTATAACACGCCGGTTTTTCGGCGCCGGTGGAGATTGTTCAATCTCAAATCTGTGAAATTGAACAACGATCAATCACATTAACAAATAAACATTAAACAAACAGGCACTCACAAACCTTGAAGGTTTTGTTGACTCGTTTTCCATTTTGCTCCGGACGACTGAAACGACTGTTCGATTCTGCTAACTAAACTTTATCTGCGACGTTAACTATATTTTCACATGAGTAAATGAAACTCCAGCTTGATCATTCATAGCTTAATTTCATGATTAAGCAGAACTTAGAGGTAAAGGAAGCATAAATTACATCGTTGAGATTTTTAAAAGACGAGTCTCAGCATTTTATAGAAGACCATTTTGGAAGATAGTGATCATATGAAGATCCCTAACGTTGTCTTCTCATTGTATTATAATTTATAAATCCCTCCTGCAAATCTTTATTCTTTTCTTTATCGTTTTCCTTTTTCTAAGACCAGAAGTACTTAACAATTCTTTATGTTTTGGCGCCATTATATAACATAAAATTCTTAAAAACAAGCTACAATAGAAGCAAATAGATTGAAAAAAAGAAACACAACAAACAAAATTCAATATCCCTACTCCATCTCCATATCCATTGATTACAAAATAGAAAAACTTTCTAAAACCATACTCTCAAACATCAAAATTCAAGAAAGAAATTGCAACAAGATTAAATTAGAACTGAGGTCTCTGTTTAGCTTCAGCAACTGTGACTCGGATATTTCTACCATCAACACTCTGCAGAAGAAAATCAAAACAAGATTCAGAACAAACAAAATTTTAACCAAAATCAAAGATTATGAAAAAACAATACTTACAGCACCATCCAATGATTCAATAGCACTATTAACCTCATCAGCAGAACCAAAAGTCACAAAACCAAAACCCTTTGATCTTCCACTATCCCTATCATAAACAACCCTAGCTTCCATAACATTTCCTTGTTCTTGAAACAAAGTTTCAAGAGCCAAATTGTCCACACTCCATGCAAGATTTCCAACATAAACCTTATTTGTGTTGTCCAGATTTCTCCCTCCACCATACCCACCACCACCACGGCCACCATCACGGCCTCCATCTCTTGACCCTCTGAAAGGAGACTCGTCTCTACTTGGTGGTGGCCCTGAGTTTACCCTAAGTTGTCTCCCCTCAAGTTCCTGAAATTTCAATACATTCTTACTATCATTACAGGAAAAAACAGGTAACAAATTGTCTAAAATTCATAGAAGAATGTGAATCGATTGAACTTACATAACCATTGAATTGTCGAGTAGCTGCCTCAACTTCTTTAACGGAGGACATGGTCACAAACCCGAAACCCCTGCTTCTTCCGGTGATTTTGTCATATACAACCTATATACATTAATCAGATTTAGAGAAAAAAACACGAACAGATCTGAAGTTTGGAATTAGGTTTAAATGAGTAGATTATACCTCAACCATTTCAACATTCCCAGCTCGTTGAAACAGTCCAGCAAGAGCTGCACTATCAACATTCCACGGCAAGTTTCCGACATAAACTTTAAGGTCGGGGGAATAATTCGTCCGCTGGTCTTCATCTCCGTCGCTTGATAAATCCTCATCCAAACCGTAGGGTGAAGCAACAGCTAAATTTCGGACGAATTTGGACGATTGAGTGGCTTCAAAGAGCTTAATGGAAGTAGGTATGGAGAAAAGCTTGGGAAAAGGATTAATGGAGGAAGGAAAGTTGCAGAGAGCAGAAGGAGAAGTGGTTTTAGAGATGGAGGATAAGGTTGTTAGCGAGAGAAGTTGAAAGGAAAGCGTAGAGGAGGCCATTGTTAACTTACCTGTAAGGTTTAATGGAGGTTTTAGGAAATTCGAAGGGGATAAGGAGGAGGAGGAGGAGATAAGGGATATTTTCAGTAGCAAGGTGACGATTTATATAGGTTAGTTTGGTTACGGGTATGTGCATGGGTTGACCCGACCCGAGAATATCTTCTCTCAATATCTCATCAATCTATCATTGGCTCTTTGGTTTGCCAATTGACTCAATTCACGAACATCATCACGCATTGCCAACAGTTCTAGATTCTGGACATGATCTTCAACCTCCTGCAATACATTCCTCTGAGTTTCAGACATTTTTTCACCTTCAAAATCCCCTTTTAATCGAGATAAACACGAATAAACATCGATTTTTTTGCCAAATTTTTTCCGTTTCATCTCTTTAACCAAATTCAACCCATCGTCTATTCTATTGACTGTAACATACCCTTTAATCATGGTGACATAAGTAAGCAGATCCGGCTCGATGTTTCTTCCAGTCATCTCCACAACAAGCTTCTGTGCATCCTCCATTTTTCCAACTACAGTGTACCCATTAATCATCGTGTTATAAGTACTCAAGTTAGGTTCAACATTTCGTGCCTTCATCTCCTTCAAAAGCTTCTCTGAATCCTCCATTTTCCTAACTTTAGCATACCCGTTGATCACTGAATTATAAGTAACCAATGAGGGCTCCATCTTTCGTTCCTTCATCTCCATTAAGAGACTCTCTACCTCTTCCATTTTCTTCGCCTGAACATACCCATTAATCATCGTGTTATAAACAGCAATATCAGGCAAATAATTTTGACTTTTCATATCTTCGAAGAAACGATTTGCAGTCTCCATTCTTGATGAACGACAGAAACCCGAAATCACGAGTGTGTAAGTGTGTTTAGATGGAACTACACCTTCAGACAACATTTTATCGAAAAACTTCTCAGCCATGGTGAACTTCTTTTCACTTATGATCACCTGTAACATAGAATTATACGACTTGATCGTCCTGGGCACACCCAATTCTTCCATTTTCGAGAATATTTTCACACAATTCTTTACGATGTCCCATTTTCGATTAACTTTTGAGTAACCATGAATTAGAAGAACAAACAGATCTTCATCATAATCAATGCCCTTTTTAGACATACCCAGCAGAATCCGCTTAGCGTCCTCAAGCCTATGATCTATACACAAAATCTCAATCATTTTGTAATGTGTTTCTCTGTCGTGCTTAAACCCAGATCCCTCCACCCACTGGAAAAATTCCAAAGCACGATTAGGGTACCGATTCAGCACACTGGAAACGAGATTATGATCAAGCAGGGGAACTAGATTCCGAATCGAGGTCTGTAAACGGGTCGACCATTCGTCATCTTCCATCATTATGCAAATTGCATCCCTAACCTTGTCTGGGTTGGGATTGTGCTCACCTGGGATTCGTAATTTTCCATTTTCGATTGCCCCGGCTTGTGATCCACAGGTTGCAATGTACGTTTTCGGGTCTGGGGTTTCTTCATATGGGGGTTTATCTGCAGCAGATGAATAGAAACGATGGAGGGGTTTGGAGATTCTATGGAAGTAGTATTTTAGGAGTTGTGGTTTTGACAGAGGGATATAGAGAGAAGCCATTTTCGGTGATTTTGCTCAAGATGGTGGGACTGGGAAGGTTTAGGGTTTTTGTACCGAGTTCCAACTCATGTAACGAGTTGACTCAACCACGAGAATGTTGACTCGCTTCCGTGGTATTTTTTTTTAAAGAGAATTATCATTTAAAAGATAGGTTTTTCTAAATAAAATATTTTAAAGCTGTTTGGTACATAGAAATGAAAGAGTTTTTTAGTTTTTGGAAAAGTTTTTCATGAAAAGAGAATAAAAATTTTGAAAACACGTTTTGTTTAATATTTTTTCAAAAAAAACTAATTCTAAGAATATGGAAATTGATAATTATTGTTTTACACACTATTTCATTTCCAAAAGTTTTCTAAAATATATAAACACACACCATACAAAAGCTTGCTTATGAAGAAGAATTAAGAAACACCATTGATGACGACTAAATTCCAAACAACAAACGATTAATAAATGGCCTCTAATACCAGGTCATCAACTCTGCCTACGATGATGCCTAATTTCAATTTAAAAATGCTCTGTTTTCTGTTTCTAGACTTAAACATGCGTTGAAAAAAAATTAATTTCCAAATTCAAATTATAAAATATAAAATTCAATGTTTTCAATTCGGTTTCAAACAAAATATTAACGAATTTCTATATGTTTGGATTACTTTATTATCAAACCGGTTTGGATCCGACCCGGTTTTGATTTTATTCACCAAATTCAATCCGGTTTTGAAACCGATAAATATCATGTGTGTGCACTCGAGTCTCGAGCGAGAGGTGAAGAAGCATTTGCATCTCATGCGTATGGGCTAAAAAGCGCAAGAAAGGATTTGTTGATTGATAATATTCGCGACCTCACCATTATTAGGTTATGGAATACTAAATTAAAATGTTTTTGACATTTTAAGAACATTATATAATCTTTCTTCTATGTTTGATCAAGTTTAGAAATTAAATAAATTTTCAGAAGATAATAAAATGATTCAAGGGTCTTTTGATTAAAGTTTTGCTTAAAAATACAATTTTTTATTTCTTTAGGTTTTTTAATAAAGTCTTATAGAATAATATTTTAGATATGGTAAAATTATGTGTTGAAGTTATGGAATTTATTTAATGTAAAGATTTGAATTGATTGTCGTTTTCATAAAATTAAGTAGGACCTTCATTAAACTTCATAGACTTCACTGGATTTTAATATCATTTTTATGCATTCTATACAATTATCATTTTTTTTCAACAATGCAATGAACTATACAAAGTTAGATAGAGCATTACAAAAGCT